AAAAAAACCCTTCGGAGATTTTAAGTTGATAATGTAATTTGAATAGGTACTCTAACATTTTAGAACTGCAAAAAGTGAAGCAGTGTTTCTCACGGATCCCTAACTCCGATCTGCAGTAACCTGAGGTCTTCCAGTTTGCAAGGTGAACGGTTTTGGAGGCCATTGAAAAAAATACCTTAGTTTAGATTGGACTGGAACATTTTGCTGAGGTCATCAACCTTTATGACTGCCTCGTTATATGTAAAGACTTAAAAAGGTTTAAAGTGATTTTATATGATTTATTATGTTCATCAGGACCTTAAATAAGGTAAACGTATGCTTAAGGTTATTATCAGTGATGCTCTTTCTTACATCTTAAAATATTTATTGTTGAAAACAATAAAAGTTTTAATTTTTTTTTGGTTTTGTGTTAAATTTAAGAAATAAAATCACGAAACGAAATCAGTTGTTTTCTGTATTAATAACAATTATATTAAATGTAATATATAAATATCCCGAAACTGGAACCGGAACTTTCCCGAAAAAAATGTTGTAGTAAGGAAGTCTCCACTTTTTGTTTTTGTTCCTTGAAGTTTAGGTAAATTAGCTCACCTTTTTCCGATCACTGGTTATTATGTTTAACACGTTAAACGCCATGGGGGTCACCAGTGACCGGCGTTAGCTGACGATTTACCGTCAACAGTTTTTTATTGACAGTCAAAGGATTAACCGACTTCAAAAAAGAAAGATGATTATCAATTTGATCTGTATGTATGTATCTGCGCGATTTTCTCGCGATTGACAGAACCGATTTTGATGGGTGTTCATATAAGTGTTTGTTACACTTAGGAGAAGATTTTAGTATATTAATTAATCGACTGCCTCGTTGGCCGAGTGGTCGCAAGTGCGACTGCCGGGCAAGGGGTCTCGGGTTCGATTCCCGGGTCGGGCAAAGTATTACTGGGGTTTTTAAAAAAAATCTCAGTGTTAGCACGGAGTCTGGAATTGTGCCCGGTATATGGCAATAGGCTCACGCCCTATTACATGGGACTCATAACATAATAGTGAAAAGTGGGTGTTACATTGTACAGTGGCATAATGTGCACCTCTGCCTACCCCTTCGGGGATAAAAAGGCGTGATGTTATGTTATGTTATGTTAATTAATCGAATTAATCGACTGCCTCGATGGCCGAGTGGTCGCAAGTGCGACTGCCGGGCAAGGGGTCGCGGGTTCGATTCTCGGGTCGGGCAAACTATAACTGGGTTTAAAATAAAAATCTCAGTCGTAGCACGGAGTCTGGAAATGTGTCCGGTATATGGCAATAGGCTCACCCCCTATTACATGGGACATACATAGTGAAAAGTGGGTGTTACTTCTGTGTGCACTTCTGCCTACCCCTTCGGGGATAAAAGGCGTGATGTTATGTTATGTTCTTAATTAATCGACTTCAAAATAAGAGGTGATGGAAGTCGACTTTTTCAAACGTAGTTTATAGAAGAATTATTTACTTTGTTATATATGTATAGGTATGTAGCTGAGTGCGTATGAGTATAATTGTCGTATTTATATTCCTGTTTAATACCCACCAGTTAAGATCAATATCTGTCTAAACCATAGTATAAAACATACGTATTATACAGAAATCTTAATTACTTAACTAAGTCTAAAAACATTTTTACTGCATTATTATGTCATTACCAAACACAAAACGAAAAAAAAGAGAAAATGGCATTCTTTAGACAAGTAACTATAACAAAATGCCTCATTGTAATGCATCATAAGACATATTGTCAAACAATTATAAAATTCGTCACATCCTCTCACTGCATACAATGTACTAACGACATAGCCAAACACTCTGACCTTTTAACTCTTACACTTTGAACATACATATAGTTCAAGTTACACTGGACGCCAGTCATATGTCTGCAACGATGTATAGACAATGAGCTTTCAAAAATTAGTTCTCATTGCACGTAGGTAACATAATGTAATAGTCTAGGAGACAATGTGAATTGTGACTGTGTTACTGAGAACTGCCCACCCTACTTGTCATTTAATGAGTCTTGATGAATGTACGAACTGTTGACTAGTATTATGTGAGCTGTTAACGTAACCCGGTCTGTTAAAAAAGAAATTATTTTATTTTTATATATAAATGGTGTCATATTGAGTTTATTATGGTATTATGCTGTAACTGCTGAAAGATTGGTATTTTGACAAATGTCATAAATATTCATAGATGAACCGATATACAGACAGATGATAGACAGATATAAATGCATTAAGAATCGATATAGGCATATGAAGTAATTGGACTCGTAACCACGATAATAGGGTAGTTTACATAATTTTATTTTAATGTCGAAAATATATTAATTTGAAATATCGTGTGACGTCACAGCGTGCCACATTTTGCAGCACGTTATGACGTAACGACCTCCCACTCCTAAACTTAGCGCCATGTTATCTAAGTATTGCAACTTTATTCGAGAAAATAAAAAAAATAAATAAAAAAAATAGTCCGTCAGTTAGAAAATGAATAAATATTGTCTAATATTGTATAATATTGTCTAATTAGATTTTTAAATTTGATAGTCTGGAAATTATCCAATTACAGCTTTACTAAAACACACAGGTCTGTTTTTTTAAATGTTTCTGTCAAAACTTTTGAAACTATCTTACAAACAAATCCAAATAGCTTTGACTCCCACATTACTTACACAAATCAACACACGACAGACATCTCTCAAGCCATTTAAAATTTCCATAACCGGGATTGAATATGGGCATTCTATTCGTATTTCTTCACCGAAGAAGATAGCTGTGGTTGGCATTTGACATGCGTGTACCCGAACATACCATTTGACTATGTATTTGACATTTAATCGACCTTTAACTATCGTCAATGAGAGAATGTTTATGTAAAAGCAGTTATGTATGCAGATAGTTTAGTTTTTACTTAGTTGTATTATATACCCATTTTTAAGGCGCGAAAATTATCGAATGACGCTCCCGCCTGGGTGAGACGGAGGGAGTATCAGACTCTTACTGACTAAAAACCACCCCGTTCCTTCTCCTGCACGTCGAGCCGGGGCCCCGGTAACCCGTTAGGTTCTCCGCGACTCCGAACCGGCATCAGGCCTGTTGGGCTCCATCCGTGGTGGTCTGATGGCTCTTTGAGGCGCGCGCATTATTTACCCTTAGGAGCAAATAAACGGAGCCATAACATAATATCATGCCTTTTATCCCCGAAGGGGTAGACAGAGGTGCACACAGAAATAACACCCACTTTTCACTATTTATGTTATGAGTCTCATGTAATAGGGGGGTGAGCCTATTGCCATATCGATTCCAGACCCCGTGTTACTACTGAGGTTTCTTTTTAAAACCCAGTAATACTTTGCCCGACCTGAGAATCGAACCCGAGACCCCTTGCGCAGCAGTCGCACTTGTGACCACTCGGGCAACGAGGCAGTCTTTTTTAAGATATTATCTTTATTATTAACTATAACGTTACATAGTTTAATCCTGAATGGTAGACAAATATGCACACTTTCAATATAGCACTTACTATTTACTAGAGACCCTGGTACAATCTGGTTTTACGTATATCTAGATTGAATCGCTACTAAAGCTGAGTTAGCTTAAGAGTTTGTTTATTTGTTTGAACACCCTAATATCAGGAAATATTAATTCCTGGATGGATTAAAAAAAATCTGTGTTTGGTAGTCCATTTATTGAGGAAGGTTATAGGCTATGAAATATCACGCTTCGAACAATAGGAGCTGAGCAGAGCGGGTGAAACCGCGCGGTTGCAGTTAGTACTAAATACTGGGAATCGGCAGTAACGATTACGAGCGTTTGACTGTGATGATACGGTTGATATTAAAGTCATCATTGTGTAATAGGGGTTGAATCTATTGACCTACTCTGAACCCTTCAGATTCTGTGGTATTACACCATTCAAATAATATTATACTATTAATGATTTCCTTCTTAACAAAATGTTATAAACTGAAAACAAGTATGTGTTTATGTACCTCTAAAGTAGATTACTTGATTCAAGTTTCAGGTAATCAACTGCTCTCTCGATCGACTGTCTCGGGTTCGACTGGTCGGACAAAGTATTACTAGATTTAAAAAAAAAACTCAGTGGTAGCACGGAGTATGAAATTGTGCCCGGTATATGGTAATAGGCTCACCCACCTATTACATGGGACTCATAACATAAATAGTGAAAATTGGTGTCACATTGCAGAATGGCATTAAGTATCGCTATGTGCAACTCTGCCTACCCCTTCGGAGATAAAAAGGCGTGATGTTATGTTATGTGATTACCTGATTGAAAATTTTTACATTTTTATTTATTTTATATTTTTAATTATTTGATGACTATTTTTACCCGACTACGACAAAGCCAAAAGGAGGGTTATGATTTTGACCAGTATGTACGTATTTTATACTTTTAAATAGTGTATGTCTAAAGGGCAGCTTCTTGCGTTGTTGTAATAATAAATTTAAGACCTATTGTATCAGTAAAAAGCATATTAATAAATTCTTTGACTTTACTAAGTGATTGCCCGACTCGGAAATCTATTTCGAGACCCTTACCCAGTAGTCATGTCTAAAACCACTCTGTTAATAAGTCAGTCTTCTAAGTAGATTAGCCCCGGTATGCCGGGGACGTACATATACGCGAGACACAATCTGTTTTCTATTGTATCTCATATATCAGCAGATAAGGGGTTAAGCAAGCAGGAGGTAATATCTAAGGTACCTACAGGCTCGGTCTAGTTTAGATGTCAGTATTCATAAACTGTGTGTCTAATGTTTTTGTTGCAATAAACACTTTTTTTATTTATTTATAGGCATTTGTCAATTGACTTCAGCCTATTCCGCTTGCTTTATAGTATCAAAATGAAGAAAGGTAATATAAATAAAATGCAAGTATTTTAACTTAAAATGTATTTAACTTATTAAGTCTTAGCATACAACTATATTATGATATCACTAGGCTTAAGATCTCGCTTTGGGGGCGGGCGCGGCATCCTCGGCGTCTTTGTACCAGTCCTCACTGGAAATAAAAAGATATTATTAGAATATAGAAAAAACTAAATGGTTTAAACTTTAGAAGACTATATAGAAAGAACATTAACCATGTAAGATCCTAGGACTTAAATCACATAAATAAGAATTAGTGTATTCCTAGGCTAGTTTTAGTATCAAAAGATGATACGTTTTTTGCTAATTTTATTAATGTAATTGTTTAAATGTGTGATAAAGTCCATAGTTTTGTTTATATTATCAGTAAAATTATTATCTAATAACTATTTTACTAATGACATTTGAACTCACCATCCGCGCACGTTCTCAGGGGCGTCACATTTCTGTGACTCCTCATTGTAGACCTCTCCGACTTGGCAGCCAAGGTTACGGGGCTCCACACCGTTCAGGCACACGTAGAACCTCTGGCAGTCAGTGGGGTGGGGGAACTTGGGGTGGGCGATAGCCTGACCTTGGGCATCAACCTGCTGCTGGACGGGGCACTCGAAACCATCCTCGGTTTTCTCTGTAATGGAAAAATGAGAGTTAATATTTTTGTTACGATGTAAAGTCATTTAAAAAAAGTTTCACGTTCAGAGGACTTCTTTTAATTTTTTTATAGTTATATCAGGGTGTAAACCCTAGAACTCTATTGAAACATAATAAAAAACAATAGCACCTATCAGCAAATCATTCTCAGGTTTAACCTTACCAAACGAAGGTGGGAGTAAACTTCTAATTCCTATCTAATTAATGAACTTAAACAACAAAGAGTTGTGGAGACAAATATAGGTAATTCAAATATGGTACTTTACTCACTTTCTTGCACCTGGCATCCTTGTCTGCCAGCCGCGTCGGGCCACACACAGGTTCCGGAGTACTCGTCGAAGTGGAGTCCAGCAGTGCACTTGACTTCGGTGGCTTCTCCTTCGATACAGTTGAAGAAGACGTTGCAGATGGATGGGTCAGGGTGGGCGAAGAAACCGTTGCGACGGGGGCACTGGCTGTTGGGCTTGGCAGGTTCTGTAAGAAGAGGTGGGGGTAAGTATTTTAAAGATATAGAATAAAATCCGAATAAAAAGGAACTTATTTCAACAAGCATTGGCGAAAATATTCCTATCTTTGGGTACTTTAAATTAAACGTACATTTTTATTGCTTGCGTGCCAATCATTAACAAAAAGTTTTATTTACTTCGATATACATATGATTAGCAAGATTATATTTTTAAACCCCATAAAATCTCCGTCATATAAATATTTGTTACGCTTTAATAATATAGATATTACAAAAGCCAAAAAGTTCAAACTAATTATATAAGAACCGTTATTTGTATAAAATTATCGCGTGACCTATCACATGTGACCTATTGCACTTTAAGAATCTACAAATCATATTTGCAAATTAAAAAATATGTATATTTATTAATGCAGGCTGGTTGCATCAATGCAAACAACTTTTTGAAATCCGAATAATTTATGAACACGAATTGTTTTGCGTCTTCCAATTACAAAAACTGGCTGCCATATTTATCTGTCATTCTGATAGTGATTTTTTCCATTTTTATTCTTATTTTCTACATACTAAGGTTGAAAAGTCATCGACCTTGAGTATAAATGGTCGGTTAAGCTAGGAAATGACAAATGCATTACGCGGTTAAGGAAGTCGATTGGTTCTGGTATCTTTCACCGAGTTATGTCAAGATCTCAGTTATTTATAATTATCTACGCTTATTATGCGACAAAGTTCCTGTATAGTTGTAATGGATACAGGTTTTCTATTGGCAACAGTATTACAGATTTATTTCAATAAACACTTTCTGTAAAGCAATATAAAAATATATTATTTTTCTACGTGAAATCATGTTTGTTTTTTTTTGTCTCATGAATCAAACTCAGAACTTTATGTTCTCTATTCAGTTTTAGTAAACTTATTGGCTTTTTTCTATTTCTTACAAATATTTTTTAACCAATAGCTATCCACCAATTTTGCTCACAACTTTATCGGAATTGACGGAATAGTGGATAGTGCTGCATTAAAAGCTATGACATTGTCAAAGTTATTCCCCAAGTTTAGTTTCCAAGTCACGAACTTAAACTTGTTGCATTCCACACATTCACGCAGTGTTCCTATACTCCATAACTTTATATACATTCCTATGGTAATGTAATTTACTTGGAATACGTTAGAGAAGTTCAAAATATGTTATTCAAAAAGTAACATGTTATTATCACTTTTGTCCCCGAAGGGGGAGACAGAGGTTCACATTATGGCACTTAAAGCCACTGTACAATGTAACACCCACTTTTCACTAATTGCCATATACCGGGCGCAATTCCAGACCCCGTGCTACTACTGACAATTTTTTTAAAAACCCAGTACTTAATACTTTACCCGTATCGGGAATCGAACCCGAGACCCCTTGCCTTGCAATCGCACTTGCGACCACTCGACCAACGATTAACGCTACAGAACTACAACTGCCAACTATTAACTCGTCGAGTACCGGTTTTATAGACACAATTAAAGAACAATAGGTCGCGGTCACCGGTGACCGCTTGGTGTTTGACAGTTTAAAATCCAAAAATCATTAGAATGCATCAAGATAAAAAAAAACTACAACCTCTTCAATAAAGCAATTACGCTTTCGAAAACTATAATATTACGACACAATACCATGTATTAAAAAAGTCCACGTCAAACATAAAACGTTCACATCAAATACTCATATGTAAAAGTCTAGAATAGTCTACCAGTCGGCCTAGAAAGTCAGCGGCGTGTCGCCACGACCTAGTCGGTCAAAGGTAGACAGGATACCTTCACTACATGAATTGTCGCAAGTGACCTCACACTGACATTTGATCTAACTATGCAGTTGGTCAACGCTTTTCGTTCAATTTTTTTCCTCCTGTTGCTTTATTTCCGAGAATTCTGCGTTATTGGTGTCTGACGTTTTATTGCGATACTTATTACATGAATTCCGTAAATGTATTTGTCGCTGTACTGGTGTAGAAAAAGAAGAATAGGTTGATGTATCAAAACGTGTCATACTTAAGTTTTACAGATTTTTTTAAGGGGGGAAAATCATCGAATGGCTGCTCCCGCCTGTTTGAGGCGGGAGGGAGTGTCAGACTTTTACTGACTAAAAACCACCCCGTTCCTTCTCCTGCACGTCGAGCCGGAGCCCCGGTTACCCGTTAGGTTCTCCGCGACAAGTTTTACAGAAATTACGATTACGACAAAGATTACAGCATCTTAATGCCAGTGAGGACACTTATTTAGTCAATGGAATTGAACCCTGCTCCCTTATTAATTACTTCTGCTGTAAATTTTACATAAACTAACTCATTAATTTCATTGAGATCATTTTTAAATGAACATTTTTGGCTCATCATCACAAATAGTCTTAAAAGAAACTTACGGAGTTCAGTCCTGTCTCCACAGTCTACGTTGAAGGGCTGGTCACATTTGTTGATCTTCCTGATGGTAGGGTCGAACACTAGACCGTCTGGGCACAGCTTGGTGGTGGCAACACCATCCACACACTCGTAGAACTTGTCACACTGGACGGCGTCCTCGTACTGTCCATCCTTGTTGGGACATTTGAATTGTGCACCTGAAGAAGATGGTTAGGTTAGTGACTGGCTGGTAGAATGGTTATGGAATATGTAATAGTATAATTTGTGGAAGAATATTGTGTTTTATGGTAGTGGTAATAGTCGTTGGTGTTCAGGTTTTTATTTACAGTATAGTTGTATACACAATAAGCTAATCTAATATTTACGAGTATGCGAAATCAATCTTCATATCAGAACGTAACGTAACGTCTTGTCAAAAATATTCCGAACAGCTAAGGCTGTTGGCTATTTAACTTATTAAATAGTGCCTAATAATAGTATGTTCAACAACTAGAGTTCACACGCTTACAAATATTACAGCAATATAAAAACGTTGATGCAACCCAATTAGGTCCATAATTAAAAATATTGCCAAAAAACAATAAATCTCACTCATTAACTACCAAATTAGATTAGTTACAGAATCGGTCGACCGAAACCGTTCCAGTCCGACCGGTTTGCCCGAAAATCGGACCGATAGTGAAAGCCGATTTAGGTAAATAATCAAGTTGTTTCTTCTCAGAAACAGATCAAGTTTGTCTTATGTAAGAATGTACTGTTACATAAGGGGTGACACACATACAGCTGTTCTCGACATTTGCTCGATATGTCGACTAGTGTTGTGATTGCTTTTTGCTCGAATTGCTCAAATCTTTTGCTCGTTTCAATACCTTTTTGTTCACTTTCATTGTGATGCCAATGTCTCTGTTTAAAAAGATGATGAAATCGTTTTCTAAAATAGCAAAAACTTGGTAAATAGACGTAGACAGTCTCCTTCGAAAGTGTTATTCTTATCGATAGAAATAGCAAAATATTTATAGCATAATAATGTGAATAAAAATCTTTGTGATATTTATTTTAAGAATAACATAAAATAAGTCAATGATAAAAATAGAAAATACGGGAAACATGCACTTTAACCTTCATGTTTTATGCAGGAAATCATTATGTTATATTATTATTTTACAGTTAGGTATAGACATCTTGATATTTAGTGCTCAAACAAGTATAGAGATTAATATTTACATCACATCACTAACTGAATATTCAGATTGACATTTTAGGAATAGTGCCTTTTTTGCAATGTAAATCGACTTAACTGTCAAGGCCGTATGAAATTGTATAAATTAATACTTTAACACGCTATTATTGATTTAATTTTGTACTATTTAAATGTGAATTATGTTTCATTCCAAAAATAATTTAAACAGTTACTTAATATACAAAAAATCTACATAATTATATCTGTTTATTAACGAGATTATTATGTGGAAAAATGTATTTGATAAAAGGACAAAATCAAAAGTGTTTGTAACCTTGGGCATTAATAATAGTCATCTCGTAGTCAACAATTTTATAACATGATTCCGTAATTTGATGTATCATTTTATTTTATTTATTTTGTTTGAACTTTCTTCGCAGTTTTTCACTCTTACTTAATTCCAGGCTGTAATGTTTAATACTCTAATACTTTTTATAACCCTGATTTAAACCGATGGCGTATACTAAATTCTCTTGTTGATTACATGGCACTTTTAACATAACTTATCTTCTTTTAAATTGACTATTTAGATTAGACTGCCTCGTTGACGAGTGATCGCATGTGCGACTGCCGGGCAAGGGTTCTCGGGTTCGATTCCCGGGTCCGACAAAGTATTACTGGGTTTTAAAAATTCTCAGTAGTAGCATGGATTCTAGAATTGTGCCCGGTGTATAGCAATAGGCTCACTCCCTATTATATGGGACTCATAACATAAATAGTGAAAAATGGGTGTTACATTGTACAGTGGCATACAGTACGCCTCTGCCTACCCCTTCGGGGATAAAAGACATGATGGTATGTTATCTTCTTTTTAAAGGAGTTATTTTTAAAACATATAACATTTGCACCTTTGCTTCCTACAAAGAATACCTCGCAAACATTTATATAACACGCATTACAAATAACAAAAACGTAACTTTGTAAACACAACTACATTGTAGACACTATCTTTTTAAAAAGTTCCAAGAAATGTATGTCACAACGCGACCCAGGCTGTAAGAAACTAACACGACCCGGAGATCATGTAACATGTTCGAAGCAATGTAATTGCATACAAATTATTTGTGTACCGTGTTTATCTTAGTTTTATGGTAGTGATCACAGTGATAGTGTTTAGTATGGTTCAATATAAAAGAGATATTTCGATGGTTTTGAACTTGGTAGCCGTACATTTTTGTAAGTATATTTAGAGTGGGTGTCTACATAGGCAACATGTTCCCAGTATTGTAACAATTTTATTCTTATGACTGCTGCTATATGAAACCCGATAGAAAGTACATTGTATCTCTGTATTATAGGTCTGTATTATGGCAAAGGTTAAGTACGAATTGAAGCATACTATGAATACTTACTTCATTTACATGTTCCATAATCAACCTATTAAATTCCGATTAATAAAAAGCATAAGTAGTGTTACAGAGCTCTTCTTTCTGAGCCACTATCACCAAACTCCGCAGCATTTTGCTCATAAATATGAGCCTCTAGCATGGCTTGAAGCTAATCAAGTTTTTCGTCAAAAAGTTATGTGAGTAAGCCGAAAATATGATAATTAAATTTACTATGAGAGCAAACATTGGAACATGGATTTTGCCGGCTCGACCGGAGTGATACCACGGCCTCATAGAAAACCGACGTGAAACAACGCTTGCGTTGTGTTTCGTCATGTGAACGAGGTTACCGGAGGCCCAATTACCAATCCTCAAATTACCAATTCCCAAAAGGCCGGTAACACACTTTAAAGCCTTAATGTTTCTAGTATCCATGGGCGGCGCCGATTGCTTACTATCAGGTGATCCGTCTGCTCATATACCGGTTAAGCTATAAAAACAATCTAAGCACCTATCAATACACGAACAAAAGCTCAGTCGTGTAATGTAACACATGATTATCGAAGGGGTATTGGAACCGGCGCGTGACGCAACGAGTGAAAGTGACTCGTGTTACAACATCAATGCATCGTACTGATGCAGTAAGGGTCGAGATGATACTGACCTGATGTGATACCATTCTGTGTTATGTGATGTTATGTTGAGTTACGTTGATGTTGTTTATAACAACTGTTTGGTAATGTAGTGTGTATATGATGGAGATTATTAATATTCTAGGATAGGTGCTAATAGAATACCTGAGTTCGTGGTAAGATGGTAATAAAATGGTACGGTAAAATGGTATTATGAACACGATTTTATGTTATTAATATATTATTGTTGACAGTGATCCAATATGGATCCTCAATACTCAATGATATTCTAAGTTACTACTTGTTAGTAGAAGAAAATAAATATAAGATGGTAATAAAATGGAATTGGTTTTGGTGATACATGGGCATAGATTATGAGCATGATTGTATGTTATTAATATATTATAGTCGACAGTTATCCAATGTGGAAAATATTCCATAAAATTCTAAGTTACTACTTGTTAGTACAAGTAAATAAATATAGAAACTAACTTATAATAAACGTCATTTATCAAATGATAATAATGTCTAGTTTATTGAATATTTATTTACACTGTAATGGTTATTTTCTATCGTCACTCAATTAAGTGGTACTAAATCAGCTTTTATATTTAAATAAATTACTTTTAAAATTGCTATCTTCAAATTTGTAAGCAATACATAGGTATATTTTCTCAATCAATAGTTAAGAATAAATATTTTAGTTTAAAAAGAAAAATCATTGAAACTATACCTACTTTAAAGTATACCTACCAAAGCTTCATTCAAAGAGAATACCTTTACTTTAGTAAAGTTATGTTAAAGATCCAAACCCATACCCATTGGTTTACCTATCTTCCAATTTAATTTGAGACCTAACCCTGAATATATAAGATTACTTATCGTAAAAACAAAAGAACATAACACGGACGTAAATCACGTTTTTCTCAGGTAGTGACAGGCATACGAAAATAACTTCGTACTCAGTATATAACGTGGATGTATAAATACATTCCGAAGAACAAGTTTTACTTTTATTTGAACACTGGTTTTAATGGCATATCCATTGATTTATTATTCTTTGCTTTTCTTAGTAAATGTGGCGATGTGTGAAATATACTTTATGACCTTAAGGTTGGTTTCATTTATATAAAGAGACGTGATGTATATGTCATGTTAAGGTTTTATGTAACGTAATATATAGGTATAGAACATTTTTATATGTCTTATGTTGATTTTAAGTAAATAGCTTTCTTTATCCCTGATTAGATTCTTTAGGCATAGTTTTGAATAATTAATGTCGAAATACTCTACAACATGACTCAATTTTAAGTGGCGCTTAACTATAGATTTGTCACTACAAATTATTTGTAAAACCAACCAACAACAATTACCGAAAACGATGGCACGATATTTAAGAACAACTTAAAATTTTGTTTAACAGAAACGCTATATCTGTGTTAATATCTTAACAACATATTAACCTGTCATATTCTACATAGATCTACTTACGGTTAACTTAATACGAGTAATAATTCGAAGTAATTTCACTTTATTACTGAATGATTACATGCACTAATAACTTTTATTGGTTTATACTCTTTTAGGTAGACATAATTTATAAAGAGGTTCGTATAATAAGTGATTTATTAAATTGACTAAGTTTGTCTCTACCCAAGCTTGTCCACGAAATATAAACCATTAAGGACAAACAATATTTTTGAGTTATAAAACTTAAAACACGACAGAGTCACTCAACTATAAATTACTCTTTCAAAACACATAGCATAGAACTTTCAGCCATAATACATGAATAATAATAATATCATTATTGAAACATAAAACTTTGCAATATTTTATTACAAAAGTCCACAATATTTGCGTAAATTTTAATATCACTAGTGTCAACACCACCACGCAACGTTTCGTAGAAAATTTTTGCATGAACTTACTTTTTATGACATTTTATAAATAAAAAAACATTCGAAGTGAATGTCAATGTCGAGTTACAATGAAATCAGTGGACGGGAAAACTGAACGCAATTTTTGTTTGTTAGTCTGTTCGCTTTTGTTGTTGTGGTTGGATTTTCTATTTTGTTTGTAAGTTTGAGTGAAATTCCTTGAAAGTTGGTGGATTTAAGTTGTTTGTTAAAGAAGTTATTTAAAATAGTTTTTGTGTGTTAATTAGTCGTTGTAAGTGAAAATTGGTTTTATAAAACGTTTAGTGTATAGTTAATATCCAATTAGAAAAACTAATTATTTCATTAGAAACATGAGCACAGACTCTTTTAGCGTATACTTAATTAAAGTCTACCGTTCCATGACTTATCTGGCCGATCACTACAATGTCACACGAGTTTTTGTTACCATGCGAACTTTACCCTTTATTATAAATTCATATTAATTAAAAGATAGTCTCGTTAATGGTTTACTCATAAGTGCCACCGCTGAGAGATTTTGAGGTTGATTTCTGCCGTTAGCCAGAGTATTATTGGAAAATTTTCAGTTCTATCGCAGAATCAGAAATTGTGCATCAAGGTATATGAAAAATATATATTTTTTTTGATGACTGCTTCGGCCTGGTTGAGGCGGGAAGGAGTGTCAGACTCTTACTGACTAAAATCCACCCGTTCCTAAACCTGCACTTCGAGCCAGAGCCCCGGTAACCCGTTAGGTTCTCCGCGGCAAGGTATATGACAATAGGAACACACCATACCATGACTAAAGCAAAGTCAGAGTTTATGCTTTTTGCTTTTAGTGTTAAATTGTGTATGTGGCTCCTCTGTCTACCACTTCGGGAATAAAAGGCCACGACATTATATACTATCACTGCGTAGTAGCCAATATGTCTCTAATGCCCTAGTTTCAAGTCTGAAGGTCAAAACACGACCTGATTTTAATTAGGAGAAAGAACAATTAATATCGCCATTATAGACTAACGCATTGCACACGACTGCTTTACTAATTTATTGCACATAGCCTATGAATGCGAACTAGGTGGACTAACGGACAAACAAACAGACAATTGGATATACGTGACGAGACTCTTTATGTGCTCATTGGTATATAAAATGGTCTATGTTATTCTGTATGTGTTTTAGATTTTAATCTTGACAATGGGAGATGAGGGGAAGATACTAAAGAATTCGATCGTAGTCACTGTTGTTGAGTTTCTTCTGACCATTTTCTTCGTTTTTGAACAGTAAATTCATATTCTACAATAATCTCATCTTAAATCTCATCTTATGACACTTTTTGTCTGTCTTTTACTGTCTATTGATAAAAAACTATTTTTTAGATGTATTGAATCTATCTCTTAGGTGTTTCTTGATGACTTGGTTACAATTCCCTATTTCATAATGTTCTTATGTGTACTGGTTTCATATTATACTATTTAACATACATAAAATATCAGTAGTCACAATCAATTACGAAATTATTACGAAAGAACATTTCGGTGAAATTAAACATTTATGCGTTGTCGTTACACTTTATACATAAGTGGATTAACTGTCGAGAACTTTTTACGACACTTATTGTAATATATATAATTATATATTATAAGTTATGAGCAATATAAGTGCATTTGTGCAATAAACCACACCCACCGACAGTTTGTTATGTGAATATTGACTGTCGCAAGAGTTATTCAGTTACATTGCCTTACTACGTATTGTTACGTGATAGCAAGCGTCCTCAATATTTTCCAATAACGAAATACTAATACTAAGCCATTAAAATCATTAGCATACAATTATTGATTACACTTATAAAATAATTCGTTGGGTAATCTTCAGATACAGTTATAAAGTTCGTCAATTATGTATCACGCGCGTTGATGTCTTTTGTATGGGATGTAGAGGAGTATTGCAACGGCAATTGTTTTCTAAAGATTCATTGATGTTTTAGGTATAAATGTTATTATAGTGAATAAATCGTTTATTTAAACGTATTGTTATAAATACATTAAATAAATACGTATGATATGCAATTTACAGCAAACTTTTCATTGACATAAAACAAAATTAATTAACTTATTTTTAGTTAGTTTAGTATATTAACTTATTTTTAGTTATTTCAAATTTCATTTAAGTTCAATTTCTTCCACAAAGAATACTATAAAACATATTGTCACAGATATCTAAAAATAATATATAAAATATACTTACTCGCTAGCGCGGTGACAGCTGTTAGTACGATGAACACTTTCATGATGGCCTTTTGATTACAAAATTATAAAAATTACAATTATAAAAAAAGTTTTAATGACTAGATTGTGGTCCGACCCTTGTGGCGACCCTGGCGAGACTGACGGACTCGGGCGTCGCGCGCGCCTTTTCTTCGCCTGCGCACGCGCATGGAACCGGTAAGACTTAGGCGTGATTTAACAAATTCTTCTATTAGTGAAACAATAATAATTTGTTATAGCATTATGCGGTTGCGAGGCACTATCATCAGCTGATTATGTTATATTCTAATCAGATCCTAGGAATCCCGATGGTGCAACCGGCGCAGGCGCAGATTTCAGGTGACGTGACTTGAAAAGTAGGGGCGTTGTTGACTCGCGCTCCGTACTGTCCTTGGATAACTTAATTCTCACTTTTTCGTGCCATTCAAAATTCCAAAGAAGTCTCCGAAATAGCACATATCGTAAAAAGGACTGTGCATGTCTAAATTCAAGGTCTCGCCTGATAATATTCATTAAAATATACTGAATTATTTAGTAGGTTCGCAGACAAGAGACGGTTTTTAGTGTTTAGCGCAATAAATTATGGACCGCTGTGCGGTTTAGTAGTCTAACTTCGTTTAACAGTTTAAAACAAGCGTCATTGGCTTTTATTTCATTCTAAAAACGTAAATAGCCTAAGCTTAACCATAGATATGCAAGTGTAGGTGAAACTCTACGTTTAAAAAATAGCTGAACCTATTTCCTTGATTTACGAAAGGTGTAAGTCACTCCGTAAGGTGTTGACCACTGAGAAAAGGTTCAAAACATAATTACTTAGTTAAAGAATCGAATTCACGATTCATAACAATCGTTTACTACCACAAAACCGCAGCTGTTAGTTGCAGATAAAGGTTAATTATAAATTCGCATGTTCGATTCTATAACATGTTGCCATGTAGCAACCTCTTTGATACCATATGTCAAAGAGTGTTGCAAGTTCTCTGAATAATAATAATAATAATATGGCAACACTAACATAAACTGGTCGTTTTCCTTAATGTTTCAAGTTAGTAAGACCGTAACTTTGATCTTTTGTAGTATGCACTTGCAGGTTATTGACCTTTGAAAGTGAAGTATTTGTAGGGTCGTACATAAGTATTGCTTGCAAGTTAGACACCGGTGACTGAGTGGCCGTATGAGTGACTGTAGACTCCATAGTTTTCGATTCAAGGCTTGTTTTAAGTTAATGGTCCCCAATGGATTTTATTTGGAAACGGTTTTATCGTTGGAGTGGTAAAGCTATGCTTCTTCCTCAAATCTGTATCTGTGGTGCTTTTGGCACCGATTACCACTAGGAGATCCATCCGCCTGTTTGTCTCACTATCCCATAAAAAGAGAAAAATGCACAGGAAAATAATGAGATAAGTTATGAGACTGACAGGGACTCTGTATTTGTTTTGTTTTTTGTTTTTATAAAACGTTGCTCCACACTAGGATTATCTCTTATGTCGTGGGTGCGTTTACAAACATACAATTTCACATACACATGACACTCAGACCCGGAACAACAATTTGTAGATCATTAACTAAAATCGCGGGTCACTCACGTGAATATACTGAGCAAAGCTCTACTAGTTACGAACCACAACTTGGAGATCACACAAAGAGTTGTTCTGTGCGACAATCGAACCCGCGACACGTTGCACTACAGCTAGTTGTCCCGCCAGGGCACCAACCGTGCAGTCAGTCTGTTATCATACCGTACTTCTTTATCTTTCAAACTTCATCTTCAAAAAAACTACACCTATTTTATTTTATTAGTATATTGACGTATGCATCTAATGTATGATTCTGCTAATCATACATTACATACGTCTATACATAATATCATGTTACACAAAGTGCAAAAGTTAAGTCTACATTATGCAACAGTATAAGATAGAACTTTATCTAAATTCGTTATGACTCAGCCTTTGTTCGAAGCCTTATTGTCTTTCTGAATAATCGTAAATTACAAAACGTATATTTAGGTGCAAACCTATAAATAGATAACCTTAGTCTGAGCTAAAGGGGATTGTGGGTCAATATAGTATAGACAATGTGTGCATTTGAATCTGAGAACGTAAAATGTACTAAAATAGTAGAATTAATAATTATAATCTTTATTATCTTTTTTCTTTGCGATAAGTTGGTAAATGAGCGGACAGATCACTTGATGATAAGCAATCGGCGTCGCCCATGGACACCTGGAACACCAGAGGCGTTACAAGTGCGTTTTTGAGGATTTTGAATTTAAGGATTGTTGGGGCTTCAGGGATTGAGGATATTGGGGAAGGGGATTGAGACTCCGGTAACCTCACTCATACGACAAAACACAAAGCAAGCGTATTTTCACGTCGGTTTTCTGTGAGGACTTGGTATCACTCCGGTCGTGCCGGTCCATTCGTGCCGAAGCATGGCTGTTCCACACTTAAAAAGCCTTCTTCAAACAAAGGCTATTCTTTAAAACAAGTTACTGATAGGAAAGTTAATATGTAATAGGTGCCACCGCATCGATTACTTCTAATCAGACCATCTAAATTTTTTTTTAGTGTTTGACATACAGCCATAGCGTTTTATGCTATTTATAATTGATAAAGATCATAAGCACATTTGTAGGTAGTGCTCTCTGACAATCTTTCAGAGTAGTTGTAGAGGAACTCGTAGTCCAGCAGTGGATTGCCATATACATACTGTTGTTGATAAAGTCAAATCACAAGTAATCAACATACAATTACCATAGTGAATATTTTGGTAATGGTCAGACGTACTCCATCGTAGGCCGCATCATCCCTTACCACCTGGCGAGATAGTGGCCAATCGTTGGCCCATCCTTACTAATATTATAAATCGGAAAGTGAGTTTGTTTGTTTGTTCCGACTTCAAGCCGTAACTACTAAACCGATTGCATTGAATTTTTGGAGACGTAAAGTTAGTAGTCTGGATTATAAAATAGGGTACTTTTTATCCCGAAAAAATTTGATATTCCAGAGGGAAAACAAAAGTATTGGTATAGATGGCGCTGTATGTATTGGTATATGTCACATAGGCTACTTTTTATCCTTTTGTGACGCGAGCGAAGCCGCAGGTAAAAGCTACATAAAAAATAACAACACTATACCAATAGACATATGTACATACAACTCTCCATTACCATTCAGTTCATAACCAATGTGTTAGCTATCTGACATTGTACAAGTCGATTGTAATTATTAAAATTTCCACGTAATGCCACCGCCATCTGTACAGTGTGACTACTAACATGACCAAATTAAAAAGTTATGCCTTGTTTTTTGTATATTAAGATCCAAGATTTAATAATTTATTGACCCTTCACAGTAACAGGTTTTTTATTATGCTATTGTGAAGTTTACTGTGTAATAAAACTTTAAAATTAACACAATGTAAAGCACGATTAAGTAAAATAAAGAATATAATTGGGGAAAAAAAACGAAAGTGTATGCAACCGATCTGAGCTTACTGTATGCAACCAAAATTATTGAAGTTGAGCTGTTCTATAACCATGGGGTTATATGTATATATATGGATATTGTCCTAATAATAAGTCATCCTCTACAGTATACTTACTGCAATATACTGAATACATGGACACTTAAACCACAAAACACCACCTACTACGATTCTTACATACTTCTTTTACTTTCTAAATCAATGCATCAACGTTTGAAACACACATTTATAATCTACCATTAGTCTAACTAAACTAAACAAATTGTCTATTGGTAAAATGTAATTAATTTATGAAGAAGACCTCTTTTAATAAAAACTTGTTTCACTTTTATTTACCAGCAATTTATAAATGATAAACAAGGTCTATATTCGTTTACAAGATCATAGATACGTTGTTAAAGCCTGCAGACTCTAAAATGTGGCGACTTTATGATAATTATATTGAAGAGGTACCTAACTAAATAGTAAAGACACCATTTCAAAATTTTCATCGAGTACACGCTTACTGCCTTTATGGCAATTCTAACGGACCCGAAACACCTCGAAACGTATACAAAACAGTAAATCAACGTTACAATATTCACTGCAATACTTTGTAACACTTACGCCATACTGAATCATAATTGAAAATATAAAGTAAATCAAAGAAACTAGACCGCCTTTCGGTCAGTTAACAGTTCATTCCAAAATTCACTCACATTGGTGATACGACACGCATATCAATATACGCAGCCTAATTTATTAAACTCATGCCGTATGCAGAAGGAATAATGTTTAAAAACGAATGTACTCTGCCAAGTAAAAGAGAAAATCTTTAGATAGATATGGAGCTGTGTTGAATCTTAAAAGATTTGTGGAGAAAACTTCGTTTCGTTGCTATGGGGATAAAGGGAGATTGGAACCATAATCGAGAAGATTGTTCGATTTCATCCTACTCGTACATCAGTACGTAATTTGAATATTTAATAAATAGTGCTTCTAAAGATATTCAAGACTATCAAATTACTAATTAAAGTAGGTTTAAGCACTTTGATAAATCAAAAATTTTATGAGTGAAATATGTATTTCACAGCGCAAGCAAGTCATTATTCGATACTGACTTTCTGTCCGATTCAGACTGTGATGATAAAGATAGTAGATAATCAAGTAGGTAAGGTACATGTTTGTAATGAATGCCTTATTAGCCTTGAAAACAGCTCTTCTAAACTATTAGACAACGACAAATATTAACAGAAACACGGTTATAAATGTCCTGAACAGCTAGAAGACTTCAATCGCTTATTGAATGCGTTACCTATGTTCATGTTCAACACTCATAGGCAGATAAATGATTGTCATAACAACATTGCAGGCCAAACGTCGAGTCAATCAACTCATTGCAAAATTTGAACGTACCAAGACAAGACGGAAGTGTAAAATATTTGGCTAATGTAATACCTAACTAAAAGATCTTATATAATATTTAACAGTGTCGTGATACAGGCTTGTGAGCAAATGTCCATTTTATTTTAATAGTAATACCTACCTACTTACT